CACGTCACACCGTGACCATCTTATATATACCAGACCACCCCCCAATCTAGTAAATGCTAGAGCACTCCCAAAGGAACGGGATAGTTCTAGAAAGCAGGTGGCATGAAACTAGTCACGTGACCTCGCTGACGCAACACTATAAATATTTGACAAAAATGCTGATATTTATATTTAGCTATCGTGGTTTTTTTTCCATAGTGAGTTATGGTGGATAAATTTGTTGAATGTGTCAATGAAACCTTCATGATTAGGTATAAGAATATCATTAATATATCTTCAACCACGACTGATGTGCAAAGCTATATTATAGTCTCTCTTGATAGATATGTAGGAAAATAAATACAAATCTACAATTTGTTGGCTGAAGTTACCTTCCACTGTAATTCCTTGTACTTGCTGATAGACACATTGACCAAATTTCACAAGTGTGTATCCCAGGAACATTCATTTCCACCACAATAATGTGTAGATAGCTTGATGAAATTAACTTTGGTAAATGTACCTCCTTAATCCAAAATAAACATTTCTGGTGGAGTCTAAATCATCAGGATTGGACAGTTTCCAATGTAAATGTGGTCAGGCAAATCATGATTCATATTGAATTGGAATGATGGTGGGGTTAGAGTTTGGCAAAACCCAATAAAGTCATGATTCATCCTGCATAGTCTACACTGTACAACATTCATGTAAGACTGTGGGGCTCATTTACACGATATGGGATAGGTCCCCTGGTTTGTCTGAATGGCTATATCTCTGTTTATGAATATTTTACCAACCTAGTTGACCATAAACACCCTGAAAATTCTCTTACTTTTACTCAAATGAAGACAGTTATATTCAAGAAGATAATGCAACCAGCCACAGAGCCAAAACTGATTTCTGATTGGTTCAAACATCTACTCTGACCTATACAACACCTGATTGGAATTCCTCCAAGAATCTACAGAATTTTTGTGAACAATTATCAGGATACATAATCCATTACCATTAACCGTACATAGACTGAAAACAATACTGATTAAGGAATGGTCAAATATTGAAGCAGATTCTTGCCTAACATTAGTGGTGTACCAAGGTGTACTAGTGGTGTACCTTGTACCAATGTTGTAATCACGGCACAATATGTTTTCAGAAATTTTTAGGTTGGGGTTTTTAATATTTTGACAAGTGAATACGTATATATTATTTCGTGTGCACATAATTGTCTACACACATGCATAAAACAAAAATATATAATGAAAACATAAAATTTCACCAGCCTTTAAAAGAAAAATAATAGTAATAATAATACTAATTTCCAGCTGCTCTTCTATCAAGCTGCCAAGCATTTAACAATCAGTAAGTTCTCTTAACCTATCTGGAATTTTCATGTAACAAAACCTTTAATACATATAATCTGCATTATTTTTAAGTAACAGTCATTACAAACCAAAATGTTACATGATAATACACTCCTTTAAATTCTAATACTAAGATAAATTAACATCTCTAATGAGGTGTATTTAAATGTATACACATACCTATCATGGCAACATCTGCCTGATAAATTGGGTCAATGATTGGATGAGTGTAGCCAGCAATGACCACATCATTTTGGCTTTTCATACAAACTGCTCTTTTAATCACAATATTCTCTCCAAGATGACCAATAGTCAGAGCTATACTTTCCAATAAAGATTTCCCACAAGAACTGTGAAATGTTCCTAATTCAGTAGGCGATAGGTTTAACTATGAAATACACAACATACATATATTAATTGTGTAACTTACATTTAAATGCAATAAATTGCATTATTCATTTTAAAAGAGAAGCACATCCAAAGTAAAATATAACACTCACTACACTGTGACATCTAAAGCAGGGTGATTAACTTGATTGTTAACCTATAAGCATTAATTAACCAAATCCCCCAAAAAAATATTAATGTTATGAAAATTATCAACTAATTGAAATTAGAATTTCTGATTATTACAATTTTAAACTATTCCAACTATCAAAGTAACTAAGATATTAGCTATTACACTGTGTGTGTGATAGTATGCCTAATGACAGAGTCTTTTGAAATAAACACTATGCTGCAGGGCTATTGTAAGAATGCAAGGTCATCAAACAGAGCATTACGGATGTGTTGACAAGGACTGTAACAAGATGTTAATTAATTAATTAATGTTACAAAAATAATCAACTAATTGAAATTAGTATTTGCAATTATTACTGTTTTTAATTATTCCAAAAATTGATTAATTAAAATTATGATTTCATCGATTATCACAAAAACAATCAATGAATTGAAATTAGGGTTTCCGATTATTTAATGTGTTTGATTATTCCATCTATCCAAGTAATCAAAATATTGCCATTATGCTTGTTCATTGTTAAGTAACATAATTTCAAACCAATGACTAAAATACAAACTTCCAACACTCTGGCAACTTAAGTGTTAAATAAAGTGTACATTTATTGATTTCTTTACTGTTTTATGTTTCTAACTTAAAATTGGAAAACTGTATTCTTTAATATTGTATGAGCAGGTGCAGATCTAGGGGAGAAGTCTGGACCCCCTCCCCCCTAATTTTGTTGTCAGAATTTAATAACTGTATTCTTTAATTTTATATAAGCAGGTACAGATTTAGGATGGGGGATTACAGATCACCTATATTTTTTTCAAATACACTAAGTAAGGGTAAGCAATGGTAGGATGGGAGTAGGGACTTTGAAGAACAGTACAGAAAGGCTAATATCAGATGATTATAGAATGGCTAGGTTAAAAAATTCTTTTTCTTCAGTTTTTACTGATGAAGATTTAAGCAATACATAAATCTGTAACTGAATAGTTGCTCAATGAAAAGAAAATTGAACAAGATGATCACATTAATTCTAAGCTTAATAAAAGGTTGGGAAGTTTAAAAAATGATAAAGCTTCTGGACCAAATAATATTTACCCATGGGTCTTGAAAAAGGTTAAGAATTAGATATGTGAGCCAACTGCTACTATTTTTTTTAAGTCACTGAATAGTTGGCAGGTGCCAGAAGAAGTTAGCTTATGTTACTTCTCATTTCTTTTAGTATCTGCTTTAAGTATGGAACAGTTGAACTGTCATGAAAGTAACTTGTGCCACTTTTCCAGACAGATATCTTTCCTTATTATGTTGTGTACAATTGCTTTTGACATGTGATAAAAAGTGTTAAAACTGTTCCAGTAATTATAAGCCTGTTAGCCTTACATCAGTGATGGAAAAAGTTATTGAAAAATCATTTAAAAAGTTTATAATTTTGTTGAATAGTCAGTATATCTTGTCTTACTAAACTTTCAACATTCTTTGATATGGTTATTGCTTGCATAAAAGAGGGTACAGGTGTCAGTTTGATGCAGCTGGATTTTCAGAAAGCATTTGACAAGATGCCACAGAAAAAGCTTATTAAAAATGTGTCATTTTAGGTGGTGGGTATAGGTTGGCTATTTAGTAGAAAACAAGTTAGATAGAAGAAAGCAGAGGGTTGTTATAAATGGAGCTTAGTCAAAATGGATTAATGTCATGAGTGGGGTACCTCAGGTCTCAGTGTTAAGATATTTGTTCTTTTTGATTTAAATTAATGACATAGACGAAGGAATGGTCAACAGATTATTCAAGTTTAGTGATGATGTTAAAATTTTGGATGCAAGTATGATGCTACTGCTTTACAAAAGGATTTGGATTATTTGATTAGTTGAGCAAATAAATTGCAAATGGCATTTAATTATAATAAATGCAAGGTAATGCATGTTGGATACCACAATTCGAATTATGAGCATAATTTTGATGGGAATAACCTTAACAATGTTATGGACATAAAAGATCTTGGTGTTCTGGTTCATCAGTCTCATAAGCTATCCAAGCAATGTACTGTTACTAGCGGCAGGGTAAATAGGATTTTAGGTTGTATCTACAGAAATACTGAATAGAAGTCGAAAGAGGTTGTAATATCATTGTATAGGTCATTGGTTAGGCCACATTTGGAAGGTGTTCAGTCTTGGGCTTCTTAAAAATGTTGGAAAGGGTTCAGAGGAGGGCAACTAGGATGATATCTTGGATAGAAAGGTTGTCATATGAAGATACATTAAGATCTCTGAATTTGTTTTCTCTTTAAAAAGAAAAGTTAGAGGGGATTGGATTGAAGTGTTTAACATTGTTAAGGAAATTGAAAGTGTTGATGCATCATCTTTTTCCATATTTAATAGTGAGAATGGTAAGACTAGGGGACACAAATACAAAATTTTCCAGGGTAGGAATCAACTTCATCTAATACAGGTTTATTCTTCTAATAGGGTGATTGGTCTTTTTGTGGTTTGAAACAGGTTGCAGTTAACTTAAAAGAATTTAAGAGAAACCTGATAAGTATTTGTATGATAAGAGCTGGTTCATAGGTGTTTTTTTCATATTATGTTATAACACAGACTTGCTATAGAATCAATTTTTCATTGTTTAAAAGTTAGAATTCTTATAAAAAAGATATTTTTTGTACAGTTGATGACTAAAGTAAGTGAAATGCATGTTGTACGCCTGTATAATTAAAATGAAATGCATGTTGTACGCCTGTATAATTAAAGTGAAATGCATGTTGTACGCCTGTATAATTAAAGTGAAATGCATGTTGTATGCCTGTATAATTAAAGTGAAATGCATGTTGTACGCCTGTATAATTAAAGTGAAATGCATGTTGTATGCCTGTATAATGAATTTATAGAAAATTTTGAAAGTAGGCATCCTGTTTCCCAAAGTATTTTTTTCTCTTAATATCACTATCAGTAATTATAATTAGTTTCTATTTAAACATTTGAAATGTTTGTTATTGTTTTTATTTTCATAGCAATTACTGTACTATAAATTAAGATATAAGCTTTGATATTACTAGATTATAAACTGAGTGAGTTAATCATTTACAGAATATATTAACATTAATTTTGTTTAACTTAATTAGGTTACTTTAGAACCATATGGTTGACACTATTCAATCCAAGATACCATGTTATTATAATAATGGAAGTCTTTTTCATACTAAAATTACTGAAAATGTGATTATAGTATTATATAGCTAACTTAAAAAAAGTTACCCGATATCATATCATCATTGTAAAAATTATACATTACTAAAGCTAGTGTGGAGAGGTTAAAACTGTTACTTGTTGTCACAATAATTCAATATTATTTGAAAAGACTTTCTAGTTTTATTTTTTTTCACCCCTAATGGTTTTCAGACTTTGTATAATAATGTTACAGCTATTGAAAGTTTTATTTTATAAAATAAACTGATATTATTCTAACATTTATATTGTTTGACAGTAAATTTAGGCTACTAGAAGAATATAAAAAAAATACTAGGTATTTACTTTAACTGAGTACTTGTTTACCTAATAAATAAAATCAGTTATGGTTATTCATTTCCCTCAGCTGGTTGCAAAGTATTTGAGTAACTGTGTAGTTATAGAAGCAACATTTAAGTCCCCAACATAGTTGTAAACATGCTTATAAGCATGTAAAACATTACTGAATTGTACCGAATAACAGGCATGGAAATGTGCACACAGTACTGTTGCAACAGGTGACTGATAAGTGAATAAATCTTTTGTTATTTTTAAATGTTGCATTGTCTGTATGATACATTTTTATGTGCAAAGTTTAAAATAAAAAAACAATTAATTCTAAGTTATTCTGTTTGAAGTGTATAGAGAGTTTCCTCTGGCTTTTCATATATTTTGCCCACTTGATAAAATTTTTCAAGAGACAAGTTTTAAAGTCAATTTTATACATTAATTCTAAGTATATTTCTACCATTTTAACACAAAAATCAATATTTTTCATTTTCTTACATATATTTAGGGTTATTCATGAAAGAAAAAAGTTCATATTTTTCATTTCTGCACAGAGAGTGTTATCTGTAAATAAAATAACCAACTTATTGATTTTTTACATAATTTTTCCACCTATCCCAAAATATAACTATTCTCAAAGGGAATTAAGGAAAAAAAAATCATCTTTACAAAGTTGCAACTCAATAAAACTCGGTATAATTTTAAACAAAGGACTAAACATCAAAAAGATGCTTTTATTAAGCCTTAGGCATATAACCTGCTTCCTACCTGTAGTCTATATACATGGCTATGTTTAACTTGTTATAAAGTTTTTCTTTATTACCCATTCAACCCATCTCTAAACTGTGGCCTCCCAGTAGCACAGCTGTATGTCTGTGGACTTACAACACTAGAATCTGGGTTTCAATAGCCGTGGTGGGCAGATCACAGATAGCCCATTGTGCTTAAATTTAAGAAAAAAAACTAAACTGTGTAAGCTATCTGATGTCTTTGAAGTAAATTTCTGTAGCTTTCAAACAGAATATAATTTAACACACAATTCTTTCACAATCCACAGATGAATGGAACTGGAGGGAAAATTTATAGAACCTATAAAAAAAATTAAACCTATTTATTTATGCTACCTTTAAGTAATAGTTGAATTCTTACCCTACCAGTCATTTAAACTTACCTTATAGCCTCATTCAGAGCTGTTTCAGTAGTAAATGATCAAACCATTAGACATGGCAGCATAACAACGTTTTTTACCAAGGTCTGTAAAAAAACTTAAGGAAACATTTGAAAATGTAAAATGGATAATATTTATGCACACAAAATAGAATAAAATAGTCATTAAATCAGACAAGTTTGGTCTTTAGTGGGTATGGTAATGTGACA